CAACAAACATATGAACCAGTCCAAGTAGATTCACTCGGGAGCCTACTTTAACCTTATGAGAATAGGCCTTGAGAGATGCGCACATGCAAAGTTCATCGACTAGGCGATATTTACTCATGACATCCAACATTACGGAATTTGTTAACTCATGCTTGAAGTAGGCAAGACAAATGCCAATCACTGTTTTGATCGAATTCATCAAAGACATGTTCCAACGTTAGTTCCATAACTAGTAGACTGGTTATAAATATGTCATATTTTTTGAGGGTTGACAACCCTCAGCTGCATTTCTAAGTAGCTGAAATGACTCCTCCGAAGGATTGAAAACAAGCCTCTCCACATAGTCCTTCACTTGCTAGGCTTGACCATACAAGCATTCCAATCCCCATTGACCCCTCATCTCACCAATTATGTCTTTAAGTCTTAATGCTACTCCATTAGCCTGAAGCTTGTGTGATATAAGTTCAACAATTATCTTTACACGCGTGGTTCGAAATCGCCTTTGCAAACCATCGACAAAACACATGTGTGCTTTGTGAAATGTTCGAACTTGCCAATATTCTCTTTTAGGTAACTTCATTGCACGCACATCAAACCTTCATGCCTTGTCCTTGTGACCAACCTCAAAACGACCTTTACATGACCCTTTTACTCTTATCTCATACTACTCTTTTAGAGCCAACATGGTCAAAGCTTATTTCAACTTAGCCTTTGAGGAAAACATTCTTCCTTTGTATAAGCAATCGTCAGCACATGTAAACTCCTCAATGGTAATTGTTTGGAAAGATAACCTTTCTGCCCCTGGAATTACCCATGTACAAGAAATCCTTGCATTTCCCCTTTCTTGATAACTATCATCAAGCAATGTCTAAGGTAAATGAATCCTATTCTGACCAGCGATGGGGTTGTTGTATATAGAGTCATCACACTGAACATCTCCTACATCAACACCTCCAACAAGTTCCGTTTCTTAAGCCCGTCAGACCCGTAATCTCCTACATCACACTGAACATCGAGCAATATCCCATTCTTTCAACATTATTGCAAATTGGAATATCACTATCATAGAGCTAGCCATTTTCTAAACTATCATCATGCCATTCATCAGGCCCGTAATCTAAATTGTCATCAAAGCTATCTTCACCGATAGGGAATAAATCCTCATTTCCCTTATCAACTGCAGTATTATCCTTAAGTGTCACAGTGTTATCCTCTAACGTCACAGTATTGTCCTCAAGTGCCATAGCCTCGTTTGAAAATGGCGTTAGACCCTCTACAGTTTCACCTGATCGTTGCATTTGTTAAACAAAAGCAAGTAATTGGTTTGAAGCACATGCTAATCGGAATTGTGCAGCCAACTATTCTGTGAATGTCTTGTGTCTACCAGGCTGCATAAATTCTTGTGCATACATCAATTGTCATTGTTGTGTGTTGCGGACCGAATGCTGTGGTATATGTGAAGCACTATAAATCTCTTTTTGATTAAGCTAATTACCATGTTGTACAGCTTTTTCATGTGGCATAACATTTGTTTGGCATCCCTTAATGGTGACATACATAGTCGAAACATTCTTATGTTCTAGCAGAATTAATGCAACATTCTCATCGTCCTTAATAATTGGGCATGATAGTTCTCTGGGTATACTGAACAATGCATGTAACTCAATCTCATGAATTTTTGAGTTTACCTAACAATATCTTCAACTAGCTTCATCAAGCTCGCAAACGATAAATCACTCCTAACTCCCCGCATTCGTGACTCACCACCCTTGTCAATGCCATCCACCCACTAACCACCGTGTCTTATCACAAGTCACACAATTGGAACCCCACTGAAATTTTGAAAACAAAAAGTTTGTCAGTCATTTTACACATTACATGCTATGTTCTAAAATTTGTTAGTCATGTTGTTACATGCCATGTCCAAAAAATGTTACATGCCATTTTCAAAAATGTTACACGAAAGTTCAAAATTGTTACACGCCATATTCACAACATGTTACACACCATATTTAATAAAAATGTTACACGTAATGTGCTAACACATGTTATTTCAATATTTTTTTTACACGACATGTGCATTATAGATGCATGGCGTGTAACAATTTTAGGTAATGTTTCTAATCCATGTTTTAATTTGCACAAAAAGTTTCAAAAATTAATGTCTTGCAACAATAAACCCAATAACATACCTTGATGTCATCTGTGCTATAGGGTTTGTTTACCAACAACGATATGGCTAGATGTTGAGAGATAGACCATAGCACGATGACGATAGTGCTCAACAGAGAGTTGACAGAGCTAATACAGTTGAAAGAGTTAAGAGAGCTGATGACAATGGTGCTCAATAGAGAGTTGACAGAGCTGATACAGTTCAAAGAGCTAAGAGAGCTGATGATAATGGTGCTCAATAGAGAGTTGACAGAGTTGATACAGTTCAAAGAGCTAAAAGAGCTGATCACAATGGTGCTCAATAAAGAGTTAACAGAGTTAATACAGTTCAGACAGTTGAGAGAGAGAGTTGAGCGAGCTAAAATAGTTGAGCATTTATTTCTATTTTCTCTATGACGGGAGGGAGATATCAGGAGATTAAATTGCTAGGATGTTTTTAAAGGCATTTTGGTCTACTCATGTTTATTTTTTGGTAAAAATAGATAACTTTATATGAGTGATTATTTTTAAAATCACCTTACAAGGAGGGTTATTTCTCACAATTTCCTCTTAAAATTAAGAAATTGACAAAATAGAAGGACTCAATTTGCACAAATTATTATATAGAAACTAAATTTATATTTTTTATGAATATAAAGTCTAATTTTTATGTTTTTTAGGATACTCGGACCAATTGCATAATTTAATCTTTTTAAAATAACAAAAGTAATTATGTAGTAATGCATCTAAAAAATATAATTATTTTAAAAAATAAATTATACCAATCATTTTTTAAATTTATTCAACAAAATTTAATCTCACTAATCTTAATAAAATGAATCTCATGTATAAAACCCTCCATAGTCTAACAGTTGTTTTAGTCTTTAGGTGTTGTTAAAGGGATGTTTTAGGTTTTTCGCATCTCTCTTCTTTGGGTTTTCTGTTGTTGGGGCTTATCACCATTCGGTCACTTTTTTATTGTGGTTTACTAAGTATTTGTAAGGTTATCTCTTGTGATGTTTTATCTCCACTTCTTGTTGAGATATTGTAAGAGAGATGTTGAAGTTGGGAGCCACAAATGTTTTATTTATTAAAGTGAAAGTTGATACTTTAGTTGATTACATGTTAATTTCAAGATCAAGCCACAATTCACATCCATACTCTCAAATGAGGTCTCAGGTACAAAAAATACAAAAAATAAAACTAAATATACAAAAAATATAAAAAGTAATGACCGAAAAGAAAATGGAAAAAGGTTATAAACTCAAAAACAATCCGTTCTCCAAGCATCAAGCACACAAGAAGAGGAAAAGACAAAAAGAAAAATCAATAAGAGAAAATATGGCTTTTTTTCGATTTTGAAACATTGAAGAGTTCGATTTCTTTTCTAGATCTAGGGAAATCCAAGTCATTTTACCAAAAACTTGCTCCAATTAAAAGGATGAGTGGCTTGAAAGGAGTCACGAGATGTATTTTGT